GAGGTAAAGGCTTTGGGGGTACCACCTTACCCCCACCAGCAAGGTGGACTAGACGTAGCATTATTAGCATTATTGGCTCCTGTCAAGTCCATTTGAACTCATGGTGACTCCACATGTGTCCAGTACACCTGCTCAGAAGCAGACAGCCTGGCCTGTGTCCCAAGGTGTCTTTAGGTGGGTTTGAACCGCCAACCTTTGGGCAAGTTGGTAAATGCTTAACCCCGTGCCCCTCTCAGGGATTCCTTATTAGCCATAGAAGATAAAAAAACAAATAGCATGAGAAAACAAGAGAATGCTCACAGTGCATGAAGGTATGCCCAAGTTTTAACCACTTAACAATCACACCACACAAAAAGTTCACTGATGAGTAATCCAACATTTTGGAATGTCAACACATGGGACACTTGGGGCGGGGGTGTGGCGGGGTGAAGCGCTGAACTCTCCACCACTGTGACGAGAACCCCATTGAGAATGGCCAAGACTGATTTCTCTAAAACAAAGCAAAAACAACAATAATAACAACAAAAACGGGTGTCTTCTTAAAATGTTGAAGACAGATACCAGAAGGAGCTGCAGCGTGTGTCATAAGGATCACTGCAAAGGAGCACAATTTACGGATACTCAGGAAACTCGCTTCTTGCTAGAAGCCTTTTATCACTGATGAAATGAAAGTTTAAAAACTTTTAAAACCATGGTTTCCTTGTGAGCAACTTAAAGGGAAACGAGGAGGCGGGGCACTTTCCAGGTGTGAAGCATGCCATTTTTTCTAGTCACAATCTTATACAAACATTTTGGGGGATATGGGGACATTCACATCATTCACGTCCAAAATATCCTGATTGTTTGTTTAGCTATTAACTATAACTTTGTCTGCAAGTATTCTTTCTGAGAAAGAAAAAAAAATTTTCTTTCAGAGTCTTAAGTAAGCATTAACAATTCATTCAAGTGTGTTGGGGGTGGAGTGGGGTGGGGTAAGCAGGGGTGTTACATATTCAAATTCAGGTATATGTCGGTGATTCAATCATGCCAGGTGCCTCCGTTTTAAGGTGACCTTACACATTCCCTCCTTTTGATCATGAATCTCCTTGGAGATTCCTTGTGACTGATGGTAAGGGTGTTTCATTCTGCTTGTGCTGATTTGATGGGGACTTTTCTTCTGTACTTACAGTGTAGACACACACTCTGTTTCCCCATGCCTTACCCAAATCACCCTGCTTCTGCAATCTGCTGCTTGGGGCAAGTGAACATCAAGCCCACCCTTGGCAGAACTGCCTGGCATTTAAAAAAGGCTGACTCAAGGTGTGAAACGGAGTCCTTTGAAAGACTTCGTTTCTTCCAGGAACATGATTTTATGCAATCCTGGGGAAAGCTCACTTGTTTATAGTAGAACAGCCATTTAGATAATGCTTGCTTAGTCACAAGTTACCATAAAGATAATTCTCATTCCGTAACAAAAGAAATGTCAAGGGATAGAAGAAGAAAATGAAATAAAATCTCATAAAGAACAGCACTAAAAGGAAAAACCATTACAGGTACAGAGCAAAACTATCAGCCTTAATGGTGGCTGTAATTATCAGACAGAGTTCATAAAATTGAGTCAATTGAATGAGGTCTGGTTTGTGATGTTGGGATTAGGTATCTACCTTTGCAGTCATTTGCTTCTGATCACTGGGGCATTTAAATGTAATTTTTAAGTCTTCAGAAGACTGATTTGACCAAAGAGAAGTTTTAACTTTTCTTTTTTAGTTAGAAAACTTGGCACTTCACTTGTTTGATGATAGGCTGTATGTGACTCACAACGCAAGAAATAAGCCTCTTTCGTGTTTTTATATAAAACAGAATCAGCTTTTTGCATCTCTCTTCAGGAGTTCATCATAGGAACAATTCCTAAACTATTAGCCACAGATCTTCCAGGTAAAAATGCTAGCATCTTCTTAAGTCACGAGGCTTGACTTTTTGCCTCGGGAATTTATCGTGTAGAAACCTGGACATGAGAGCAGATTGAAAAGAATTAACCTAACTCGTAATTCAGTAATTAAGGATGCGTTTGTTATCCTAATAGCAAGAAGCCCAATTCTTTGTTTTATATGCTGCGCGAAGGCTTCAAAAAGTTCATGAACAAAGACATGGAATCAAAGATAACACATTTTCCACAACTATTTTGAAGGCCCCTCGGATTTCACGTTTGAAAATCTAAGTTTTTCATTAATTAACCATTATATCGTCTGTGACAATAAACAAATAACGCTGGTCGAACAAAACAACCTTTCCAGACTCTGTGCTTTGTTACCTGTTTCTCAGGCCATGAGACTTCAGGTGGCAAAAGTGAACACACTGATTCCTCCCTTCTCCAGCATCACATTCCACTTCCCATTTCTCCGACCTCCTACAGCTTTTAATACCCACAAGCACTACTTTTCTTTCTCTTCCTTATTCGAACATCCTGGCATTCTACTTTAAGACAAAGCTACTTTGTGAAAAAGTTCTAGCTTCATTTCTTTATTACCTACTTAATCGTCCTCTAACCAACTAGGATTTACTTTGATCTTGTACAACTTTCTGTATCCATTTAATTATTTTCTTTTTCATATCTTTTCTCCTTTCTTATCTTGAAACAACCAGTCTCTATAATTTTAGGACAAAAAATTGATACATTTTCTTTTAATAAAATGTTTTATATATTTTATGTAGGTTGTATTACTTTGAAAGATCTCGGAAATGATTTTGAAGTGGATAGAAAACATAACTTTATCAAAAACAAATTAATTTCAATTAACTCAGATGACATTAAAACTATTCAATTTATATAAATGCCTATTTAATATTAAAATAATCAGAATAAATTCTTTTTAAAATGTTGTAGTTTAATTACTGACATCATCCAGAGGAGGGAAATTATTATCTTTCATAACCTTGACTTTTTCAGGCTTTATAGGATCTTTGAGAGAAGCAATTTAGAATCATGTGTCCCTGTTTAAGGCATTGTTATACCAATTAAAATAAACAATCCATCTTTTGAAAACATTTTTTTTCAAATCGACTGATTTGTACCAAAATTTCTTAGATTAGCTATTAAAAGATAAGATTACAATTTTTCTTTTCTTTTCTTTTTAATAATTTTTTAGGAGCTCATACAACTTTTATCACAATCCATACACACATCAATTGTGTAAAGCGCATTTGTATACTCATTGCCCTCATCGTTCTCAAAACATTTCCTCTCCACTTAAACCCCCAGCATTAGGTCCTCATTTTTCCCCTCACTCCCTGTTCCCCCCTCCCT